AAGAGTGGTTGGAGGAGAAAGAAAATGAACAAGAAGAGAGAATACAGCAGTGGTTGGAGGAGAAAGAAAATAAACAATAAGAGTGGTTGGAGGAGAAAGAAAATGAACAAGAAGAGAGAATACAGCAGTGGTTGGAGGAGAAAGAAAATAAACAAGAAGAAAGTCTCCAACAACTGAGAGAAAGCCAGAGTACACAAATGGAAAACATTAGTAAATTTCAAAGCGAATTAAATACATTAAAGAATGATTTACTGTCTTTCACACAAGTACGATATATTAGCCATCGACCTAATCAGCCTCAGACAATGGGAAGCCCCTTCCAGACCTAGCAGCTAAACCCTAATGCAGACATCTTCAGTCCTGCTAGAAGTCACATTCCAGACACGAGTGTCAGCAATAGGGGTGAACTAGTACAAAGGAAGCCACAGGAAGTCGATGGGAAGGCACCCTGGGAAGCATATAGAGCACAATTTGAGCTCCTGGCAGAAATGAATAGATGGACAGAGGAGCAGAAAGCAGTGTACCTGGCAACGAGCCTGAAGGGACAACCACTGGAAATACTTGGACAGTTGTCAGCAGACGACAGGCACAACTACAGAGCACTCGTGGTTACTCTAGAACTCAGGTTTGGAACCCAAAATCAGTCCGAAGTCTACAGGGCTAGGTTTAGGACAAGAGTCTGTGCTAAAGGGGAGAGCCTGCAAGAGCTGGCACAGGATTTGGAAAGTATGGCACACAAGGCCTACCAAACTGCACCACCCGATGTCCTCAAGCTCTTGCAGAGGGATCAGTTTGTAGATATCTTGGATAGTCCACAACTGAAGATACAAGTAAAGCAAGTACACCCCTCTACTATACAGGATGCAATGGCCAGAGTTGTTGAATTTGAATCCTACGTTAAGTCCAGCACAGAGGTATCAAGATTGGTACAGTCATCAGGATTCAAGGCCAGAAAAGGGCAGCTTTCAAAGAAGTTTCAGGGACTTTGCTGGCACTGTTACAAACATAAGCACAGGAGAGTTCAATGCCAGCAGCTTCAACACAGGGAAGATACCATGGCAGGAAAGGTTGTTGAACTGTGGAGAGCAAGGACATATGAAGAGCCAGTGCAAGAAGAATACTACCAATAAGTCAGCTTCAGGGAAACCAGTAGTAAT